GGCCTTAGGAAAAAGACTTGGGCTTTCTGAACCTTGATATTTCTAATAAAATAAAGGTAATCCCTTGAAGGATTATTGTAAAAGCTAAATGGGTTAAGTGCTAATTGGCGGGGGGCGGGGGTGACAGTAATTTGTTGGTGAAAATCCCAGAAAGAAGCTGAAAATGAAAAATTTGCCAACAAAAGCTCGTGGAGGTAAGTCACTCAGCTGTGGAAAGAGTGGCATAGGGAGGGCAGAGATGTAGTAGAGCTCTTGCCTGACATGCGTGAGGCCCTGGGTTCACTCCCCAGTGCGGCCCCCCAAAAACATAGTAAAAATGATAGAGTTGACTTGCTACCACCAAAAAAAAAAAAAAAAAAGAATGTAACTGTACCGTAGCCCTAAAATGTACCAATAAACTCAATCAAAACAAAAAAAAAACAGCACCATTTTACTGCCTTCAGACCCCTGTGAGCCAGGTGTGGTAGCACACACCTGTAATCTCCTCTCTGGAGGCTGAGGCAAGGGAACTGCCACAAATTCAAGGTGAGCCTTGGCTACACAATGAGTTCAAGGCCAGCAGGACTACATAGTGAGACTCTGTCAAAAAGAAAAAGAAAAAAATAAGCCAGCTGGGCATGGTGGCGCACACCTGTAATCCCAGCACTCCGGAGGCTGAGGCAGGAGGATCGCTGTGAGTTCAAGACCAGCCTGGGCTACATAGAGAGTTCTAGGTCAGTCTCAAATACATAGTGAGACCCTGTCTCAAAAAAAAACAAAAACAAAAAAAAAGCTGTGAAATAAAGACAAAGTTCAAATCTTGAGTGTTATTAAGGATCAGAGGTATAATTTTTATTAAAGTAACCACATCTATTGGTATTTATTTATTTATTTATTTATTTTTGGTACCAGGGATCGAACTCGGGACCTTGTACTTGCAAGGCAGGAATGGCATCCTCAACCTAAGTCCTAAATCCTCAGCCCAGTGTTTTTATTTCTATTTCTGCCTTCCATTCCATGTATGGAAAGGTATTCCAAAGTCCAAAATCAAAATAATATTTATAATTTTCTTCTCATCTTCTTATACCTCCTTTTTTTTAATATTTACCTTGTTACACTTACAAAACAAAATGGGGGAGTGTTAGAGGTAGGAATCTAACTTCTATTGATAGGAAATATTTAGTTAAGGGTCAGGGATTTAGCTCAGCAGTGCGGTGGAATTCAGTCCCCGGTACCAAAAAAAAAAAAAAAAAAAAAACCAGCTAACTCCCTATGAAGAATTATATCTGAGTGTAATGTATACATCTCACTCAGATGTACTGTAAATATATATCGACACTATAAATATAGAAAAATATAGTAGAGGCATCATACATGATGTAGAGACCAGATAAAGAAATTTCTTCTACATGTTCTTATTTTACAATTTTGTAGTAGTATGGCACACACATACGTACGGATATGAAAGTATCTTTGTGCCTGCCTAGGTTGTCTCTGATGTTCTAGAATTTGACTGTTTCAAAGTAATAAACCCCGCCCCTCAGAAAGGGCTCATTGACAGTTTTCTCATCCAACCCGGCCCCTTCTTCCCTTTTCACACAGTTCCTAGCCTTTTTTCTGCTCCAGGCTGAAGAGTAACCCCATTATCTTTTAAAAGGTCAGTGGGAAGAAGATGTGAACTCTGTCTGAAAACCTAAGGGGCTGTGTGCTCAGTGAGGCAGGGAGACAACACCAGGATTCATCATGTAAACCTGGCTGGTACCAACAGAGCCCCTCAATGAGTAGCGGAGGCACATCGAGGTGGGTTTTAAAGAATTATGACCCAAACAAAATGCCCAGTGCTTCGTCGAAGTTGAGTGCAGGTTCTTCTTCCCCTCTGACTCAGGGGTTTCTCACCTTTCTGAAAAATCTTCCCTGTAACTCTTGGGCGTGTGTTTAGGGTGAGCAAGGCTCGCCACTGCAAGAGAGCCAGGTAGGACTAGTATATAAATGAATATCAAGGATAACCAGTCCACTGAAAAATGCTTTCAATTTCATGATTTGCCATAGCCTCCAAAATTAATTTACTCTAAGGCAATTATGTGTATGCATGTGTTTAATAGAATTCACAAGACCCGGGCTTCTTGACCTGGGCCTGACTGACATTTTGGGCCAGGTAATCTGTTTGTGTAGTCATTGTCCTTGTGGAGGACGCTGGGATGCTTAGCAGCATCTTCAGCCTCCGCTCGCTAAGTGCCAGTGGCTGCTCTCCCACAGTCGTGACGACCAAAGTTGTCTCCAGACAGGCCCAAACGTCCCCAGTGTGTGAGTGGGACAGGGATGGGGTGTTGGGGGGTAAAAGTATAAAACTGTAACTAGGTTGCAGCTGTTGGGTGGAGTGGGAGCACCAAGAATCACTAGCTGGGTGAGGTGGCGCACACCTGTAACCCCAGCACTCAGGAGGCTGAGGCAGGAAAATCACAGCAAGTTCAAGGCCAGCCTGGGCTAGGTAGCCAGACCCTGTCTCAAAAAACCAAAAGACAAGCAAATGAAAAAAGAATCACTAAAGTAGACCGAACACTATGAATAGTGTAATTCTACCCCTCCAAGAAATGCATCCCCAGTTTCTCTTCCAAAAGTAACTGGTGCACATCAGGGGCTATTATTGAAAACTAAAATGGTCTTAATCAGAGCTGTCAAAATGTCTGCCTTACAACTCCTGGACCCCTAAAAGTATTGCAGGGAGATCTTCCAAGACTGGGGGTGTTGAAAGAATTTTATCATCTTGTTATTTCTCCCATTGGTACATCTATTATCAACATAAATAAATTATGCTGTAGGCCTGAGTAACGGCATTATCTAGCATAAGGTGTTATAAGATTTGGAGTCCAAGAACTTCGGCTTGGGTCTGGGATCTGCAAATGTCTAACTAATCATTTTATCTCTCCAGGCGGCCCATTTCCTTGTCTAATGTGGGGAGAGCAGTAACATTTAATCAACTGGATTATGGCATTCCAAGCGGTTTGTAAGAAGTAGCAGGGCTTATTTTTGAGGAATTAAGAATTCTGGGGGCTGGAGATTTAGCTCAATGGTTCGGGTGTCTGCCTCGCAAGCACAAGGACCTGAGTTCGATCCCCGGTACCAAAAAAAAAAGAATTCTGGGTTCATGTATCCCTGTGTTGACCTTGGACAAATGACACACTAGGAGAAGCTATAGTTTCCTTATGTGCAAAATAGAGAAATAATCATATAACCTGAGTTGCTATGAAAATTAAACAAGATAGTTTGCATGGAAAGTGCTTGATAAGTGTTATCTTGGTCCTTTGGTAAATTATATCATGTTGCACAAATACGTATCATTTTATTGTTATTGTTTCTCTATGAGAATTGACACCTGGAAACTTAAAGAAGTAATCAGTGCACTGCACACGTGTATTTTAAATGTCTTACATCCCCAATTTCAACCAAGAGAAAGTAACACTATGTTGTACTATGCAACTTTCTCCCATCTCCCGAGTCAAATCAGTTAGGGGCTGAGGATTTGGCTCAGAGGTTCCGCTGCCTGCCTCATAAGTGAAAGGACCCGAGTTCAATTCCTGGTACAAAAACAAACAAATAAATAAATAAACCAGTTAGGGCACAGGTAAGGTTCTCCTCCCCTCATTGAAATAATGTACTAATAAGTTTATCACAACCTCCCTTTCGCTGACAAACAGCACATGGGTCAGGCATAGCGCAGACAGCTAACACACGTTTGCCCAGTCCTGAACATTTATATCTGACCAGCTGCTATTGTGAAACTTGCCCTGACCCAAGCTTTGGCAAATTTCTTTACAGTGTTCAAGTAGGGTATGTGGAGTGTTTTCCAAGTTAAAACATAAGTAAAGGAGGCTGGGCGTGGTGGCGCACACCTGTAATCCCAGCACTCGGTAGGCTGAGGCAGAAGGATCACTGTGACTTTGAGAGTAGCCTGGGCTACATAGTGAGTTCCAGGTCAGTCTCAACTACATAGTGAGACCCTGTCTCAAAAAAAAAGTAAAGGGACCTGAGAGTATCCTTTATGTACACTTTTAAATTGAAGTGTAATGTAATGTTCATACAGAGAAGTTCACAAATCACAGCCATACATTTTGGTGTTTTTTTTTGTTGTTGTTTTTTTTTTTTTGGTACTGGGCATTGAAATCAGGACCTTGTGCTTTCAAGGCAGGTGGCAGCACCATTGAGGTGAATCCCTGGCCATTCATTTTGGTAATTTTTCACAAAGCAAATGCACATATTAGCTGGGTATAGTGGTACACACCTGTAATCCCAGCTAGCAGGGAGGCTGAGGCAGGAGGACTGTAAATTCAAGTTCAGCCTGGGCAATTTAGCGAGACCCTGTCACACAATAAAAACTAAAAAGGCAGGGGGTGGAGCTCAGCATAGAGTGTACCAGTTCAATCCCCAGCACCCTGCCCCTGTGTACTCACCAAGTGTTGTGTGTGTTTTTTAATCTCATTGAGTTTATTGGTACGTTTTAAGTATATAGTACAGTTACATTCATCATTGGGATCTTGTACCCTCTCACCAGGTGTTTTTGAAGGTCAGAGAATTCCATAATAAATACATCTTTTATCACTAGGGAGGTGAAAAGAAAACAAAAACCCAAAGAGTATCCTGAATTTGAAAGAAGACAGGATTTCTCAGATAAGGGGGGGGGGCTGTCTTTGAGATGCAAATGTGAATTATCAAAGAGAGATATTGCAATATGATAAATTGAGAAATTGCCAAACGTACCACCATCCACTCCTTGATACATGATTGTGGACAATTGACTTCAGGTGCCTCCGCCTTCTTTGTCAAATGGGTATGAAAATAATAGGATCGTTGTTAGGATTAAGTGAAGCAACATGCATGGGTTTGGGTGAATCTAGTACTTAAAAAAGTAAATCACCTGGGCACAGCAGCACACTTGCAATCCCAAAACTTGGGAGGCTGAGGCAGGAGGGTTGCCACAAGTTTGAGGCCAACCTGGGCCACACAGTGAGTTGGAGGCCAGCCTGAGATACACAACAGGACCCTGTCTCGAAGGGAAAAAAAAAAAAAACAAGTCATCCATTTGGGACAATGCTCCTAGTGACAATAGGAAGGAGGCTGTGGAAATCTCAAGAATTCTTCCAGAAAAAAAGGAGGTTTTTGCCTGAGCACTGGGTCAGCAACACCAAGGGGCGCGATCACAGAGTCCACAACTCACACCAGCAAGGAGACTGGGTCCGCAGTCCGGGCCGCAGCAGGCAGAGTGCTGAGACACACAGCTGAGAAGACCGCGCGGTTCTGAGCAGAGAGCCACAGGGCTGTGCCTGGCATCCAAACAGGACCTGACCTGATTTGCTCAGAGTCCAGAGGAAGGCCGAAGAGTGATTGTTTGTTTCATGTGAGCCTGGGGAGAGGAGCGAGAGGAGAAAAGCCACCGCGTCGTGATCCCGGGGGTCGGAGTCGTAAAAGCCCTGTGCACCGAAGGAGGGGGAATCGTGGGGGACTCTGTCTGAAGCCCAGTGATGGCAGCCCTCCTGGACAGTTACTGACGACCTCCATTGTGTCCCTCCAGGCCTGGCCTCCCCTCGCTAGAACGAGACAGAGTCGTACACTCGAATCAGCCCGAACACTGCAAGAGAGAAGGAGATACTATTAAAGGCGAAAGGGAAGGAGGCAGGCTGTCTCTTAGATCCCACACGCGGCAGAGAAGTGTCCCTCTCTGGAGGGTGGCAGCAAGGAGCGTGCCCAAATGCGGCCTGCGACCTCATTCGTCACAGCTGGACTTTGGATTTCTCCTACTTCTTCTTCGTTACCTCAGTGTTGTAAACATCTTGTCACTGCTCTCGGGGTCTCTGAAAGGAGGCAATTTGGGTTTTCTTTCCTCGATTACCTGCAGGAGTTACATCAACATGTAAACTGCAGCAATGTATGGCTAGGTGTGGGGGGCACGCCTATCACCCCAGCACTCCAGGAGGCTGAGGCAGGAGGATCACAAGTCCCACCCTAATCTGGGCAACTTAGTGACTTAGAGAGACTCTGTCTCCCAATGAAAAAAGGGGATGGGAATGTAGCTCGGTGTGAAAGCCCTGGGTTCAGTCCCCAGTGCTGGTCCCCCGAATCCGCAGCACAATTATGGTGAATAAATACATGTTACACACACACACGAAAATGTGACTCACTGACCTGGCGTTGTTCTGTACATAAAGCATCTCTAATTCCTGGGTAAAGAGAATGAAATAACCAAACCAGCGGTGGCAAGTCTGTGGCCAATGGATTTCTCAGAGCCTGACCTGGCCTCGGAATCCTTCTCAACACAGTGCTTGGCCGGGCAGCAAGAGCAGTTGGGTGGAGCTCACCCGAGAGAGACAGATCTTGTTTGTCATACCTGGAGTCTGCTTTGACATCTTCTCACCTGCCCCTTCCACTTCTCCCAACACCCAGGGCAAAGAGCATCAGAGAGGCAAATATTCCGAGTTTCAGTCCTGTGTACTTAAGCCCTGCATAGGTAGCAATCGCTTGCCTATTTAGGGACCTGTTCTCATATTTCTGAGTTTATAACTGATTTATGACCTATAAATAGTCACATCAACCTCATTGCTGAATAATTCACATACGGAGGTCATGCTCTTTGGATAAAGCTGACACCCATTAGTGTTAAACTAGCCAGACATGTAAAACGGTGCTGGGACACAGGGGAGAACGGTACCCCAAGGTGATGGGAGAAGGAACAGAAGGCTTCTATTTTATTCCTTTTCTTCTTCTTCTTCTTCTTCTCCCCCGCCCCTCTGACAAGGTCTTGCTATATAGCCCAGACTGATCTTGAACTCATGATGACCCTCCTGCCTCAGCCTCCTAACTGCGAGGATTACAGGTGTACGGCACTATCCTGACATAGCCTCATTTTCTTCACCTCTAAAATGAGCTATTATTTCCCCACAGGTGGCAATTTCAGGAGCACTATTAAAATAATAGTGCTAAACAGAGGCCCACGCCTATGGAAGCTGAGACAGGAGTATCGCTTGAGCCTAGGAGCTCCAGACCAGCCTTGGCAACACAGCAAGATCCTTGTCTCAAAAAACAAGCCAACAAACAAACAAATATAATAAATGTTTTCAAGTTTCTCAGAAAAAGACTTTGGACTCCACATATCACTTCTGGAGACAGAGCACTCTTTGACGAAAGCAGAACTCTACCAGGGATAAATGGAAGTTGTTCATTTGTTTTACACGTGGGATGCAAATGAGCCCATTCTCACCAGCCAGCACTGGGAAGCTGGTGAGACCAGAGGGCCCGGTGCACTGTCCCCACCGGTAAAACGGCACGCCCTCCCAATCAGTCCCACAGGAAAATTGATGCCACGGAAGTTGGAAATCAGTGAGCATATTCAAAAGTGGTGCCGCATGCAGAAGAAAGGGAATTAATGTAATTTTTTATGTAAGACAACACTAGGACCAGGGATTTAGCTCAGTGGTTCTGCTACCTGCCTTGCAAGCTCAAGGTTCTGAGTTTGATCTCCGGTACAAAAAAAAACTTGAAAAAAAAACTTTCTCATGACAATATATACCACCAGGCACACGCCTGTGATCCCAGCACTTGGGAGGCTGAGGCAGGAGGATCACCATGAGCGAGGCCAGCCTGAACTGCATAGCAAGATCCTGTCTCAAAAAGAAAAAAGTTAACACTATGCCACTCTAGCATCTGGGTTGATGAATGAAATTAGAAGAGGAAGTGAGTGAGGGCCTTTGGGCTAAGAACTGAATTGACAGCTCTGAGGATATCGTGGAGGAGTAGGCACCTGAAGCAATATTATCTTCCCTCAATTTATGGATGGTGAGAACTTTAAAAAACAAATAATTTTTAATCAGGTGCGGTGGTACAAGCTGGCAATCCCAGCACTCAGGAGGCTGAGGCAGGAGGATCATCGTGAGTCCGAGGCCAGCCTGAGCTACGTTGTGAGTGAGTTCAAGGGAAGCTTGGGGTACATAATAAGACCCTGTCTCAAAAAAAGAAAACAAGCCCAACAAAAGACCCCAGGCATTTTCTAATAGCCACTTGAGGACATTTGCCTCTCGGAAGGTGGCCCATGTTACAAAATAAATAAATAAATAAAACGTGGTGTCAGGGCCGCTACATTTTATTTTATTACTAGCTCCTCAATTAGCATAAGCACAAACTTATTATTTTTCCAAGTACACTGTGTTGTTGCTGTTCATCTAATAGAAAAGAGAAACTCATTCCAATTCCAATCTGGATGAATATTATATTTCCTTCGATAAACGTCAGTGGGCTGATGGGAACAGACCCATTCCAAGCTGAAATACGCTTGAACCTAAGCTTTGTGACTAACTGTGCCTACAGACAGCTCATTTCATCCTGAATTCCCTTGCCTCGGCAACTTAGTCAAAACTGAAAAGATTACAGAGAAAGCTGACCTAGAGTAAGGTGGTATGAAACTGGCACTCAGTATTCTGCTTCTGTGACTCGGTGGAACCTAGGTCAATATACAAAAATGTCGTCTTAAAGAAAAATGTTTGGGGGCCGGGGATTTAGCTCAGTGGTTCCGCCACCTGCCTCGCAAGCTCATGGACTCAAGTTGGATCCCCGATACAAAAAAGAAAGAAAAATGTTTGGGCCTGAGTAATGGTAAATAACCAGAAAAAAAGAAAGCAAGTAAACAAATGAAACATGACAGCAGGTAATGTAAGTGGGCCCTAGTTCTGATTTTTTAAAAAGAGCTCTTAGGGACTAGAAGCTCAGTGGTAGAGCACTCACCTAGCACGTGCAAAGGCCCTGGGTTCAGTCCCCTGTCCTGGAAAAAAGAAAGAAGAAAAAAAAAAAGCAAACCCTTAAAAAGGTGAGCTTGAGCCAGGCATGGTTCTGCACGCCTGTAATCCCAGCACATGTGAGGCCCAGGCAGGAAGATCACAAGTCCAAGACCAGCCCGGAATACACAGTAAGTTCAAGGCTAGCCTAAACCACAAAGTGAGGCCTTGTCCCAAAAACAAACAAACCAAAAAGGTGGGCTGAGACCTAACATACTATACATTAAAGGGGTTTTTGTTTTGTTTGGTTTGGTTTGGGTACCGGGGATCGAACTCAGGGCCCATGCACTTGCGAGGCAGGCGCTGTACTGCTGAGCTATATCCCCAGCCCTTATCTTTATTTTTATCAAACACAATTTCAGAGGAATTTTATCCTCCTCCCTGGTTGAATTTCAATTGGAAACAGCTCCCAAAGCTTTAGATCTATAATGTTCTGCCTTCTCAGGTACACGGCGCTTTTTGACACACCTGGGCGTGTTAAGTTTCTGTGATCTGGGATCTACCTTTCCATTCTTCTTGTTCTGCTGTTCAGCTGAAGAAGCTGCTGGCTTCCGAGTTTTCACCTCTCGGTGTCTCTGTCTTGTCACTCCAGGACTTAAAGCAAGGGTCCCTCCAATATTTCCAATGAATATTTTCCCTTCCATGAAGACTTTCTGTTAATTATTAACAGGAAAAATAACAACTTCCATTTACTAGGTATTCTGGGCCAGATACTTAAAATTTTATAGGTAAGAAAAGTGAGGGGCGGGCAGAGAGGTTAGGTAAATCGCCTAAGGTCACATAAATAGTAAATGGTAAAACTGGGACTCCTGCCCATGGCTACTTAGGTTCAGGTTCCATTTTCTACTGGGAACTCCCCTGGGCCCTGTAGAAGGAAAGAGAAGAGGAACCAGGCAAGGCTTGGAGGAGGCAGGCTGGTCCTGATACCCAGGGCTCAGTCAGTCTCCACCCTGTGAGGAAGAAGCCTGGAAAGAGGAAAAGTGTGGGGGCTGGAAGCCCTTGGAACAGCTACGGGAGAAAGAAAAGAAGTTTTGAAGAAATGGAGTTAGGCAGTCAACTAAACTAGGGAGGTGGTCTTCAACAAAGTTCAACTGCTTTGTATTACAGGTCTTCTCAGAGCCTTGAAATCACAAAGATGTGATGGGAATCTCCTTGCTTTTTTTTTTTTTTTTTTTTTTGTCTCTTTTGACACTGGGAACCAAACTCAGGACCTTGCTCTTGCAAGGCAGGCACAGCGCCACTGAACTACATCCCAGCCCATGATGGGAATCTGTAAGAAGCCTTTTCCGGTTTGTTTTAATTCTATACTCCCATTTGATTTTTTCTTTCTGAGACAAGTTCTCTCTATGTAGTTGCTGGCCTCAAACTCACCAGTGATGCTCCTGCCTGGACCTCCCCAGGGCTAGGATGGCCCATTCTTATGGCATGTGTGACAGGCCTGCTGTCGCCGGAGGCACTGGTCTGGTGGCTCTCGGAGGAAAAGGGGGCTCACCCCGGCCCAGTCACGGTGACACATTTGCTGGTTTGTAGTACCTCCAGAGCGGCCTCTCTTCTCCATTTCTTTCTCCCTAAAAGAAGACTTCCCCTCTTCACAAATGTCACAGGACAAAGCTCTACAGAGTGATTTCCAGCATTCATCCAAGTGAAAAGTTCAGCTCCCAACAGGACCCGGCAACATGCACAGAGCAAACCAAGCAAGACCTGTAGGGTGAGACATTATTTATCGTCTCAGGGTGGCTGGTCCTGGTCGCCTCCCTGGCTCTCTCAGAGGAGACTTAAATGTGCAGGTTCCTCCCCAGGCCACCAG